AGTGGGGCCTGAACTCTGGGCCTGGGCGCTGTCCCTCAGCTCTTCAGCTCAAGGCTAGTGCTCTACCACTTGAGCCACAGCGCCACTTCCGGCTTTTTTGTTTTTGCTTATGTGGTGCTGAGGAATCGAACCCAGGGCCTCATGCATGCAAGGCAAGCGCTCTACCACTGAGCCACCTTCCCAGTCCTACTTACTTACTTATTATAATCCCATTACCTAGAATTAAAACATAAGGAACTGGGGGGAAGCTTAGCTGATTATGGTAACTAACATTTTTTATCATTATAGATTATTTCTAACTTTTAAACATAGGTATTTGTTATATTGTGTAGTGTATATAGCTATGTAATAATGCTTTCTTTTGCAGTACAAGGTTTTGGACTCAGAGCTATGTACTTGTAGGCAGATGCTCTACTCTGAACCCTCCAAACCCTTTTTTGTTCAGTTATTTCTGATAGGGTTCTCACTTCTTTTATATTAGAAGGTCTTCATTGGAGAATCTCACTTTTTTCCCAAGCCAGCCTGGATCGCAATACCCCCATTTATGCTTCAAACTGTAGCTGGGATGACAGATGCATGCCACAACACCCAACTTTTTCTGTTAAGATGGGGATCTTGAAATTTTTTTGCCTAGGCTGGCCTCAAATCATGACCCTCCCCATCTTAGCCTCCTAAGTTTACAGGTATCAGCTACAATTATAGGTATGAATTACTATTCTATTGCAGGCTTAAGAACCCTCTCAGAGGCAGCCTACTGTTACAGACAGGACATAACCAAAAGATGCACACTAGTCATCTTTTCTTCACTGTAAGGAACTTGAACAACTTGAGGAAAGGTTCATTTAGGATCTTTTTTCAGAAGTTTCAGTCTGCAGGCACATGGCTACATTGCTTCTTGGCCTGTGGCAGGGCAGATCATGGCAGGGAATGATCACATGGTGGAGCAAAGCTGCTCATCTCACGGGCTGGGAAACTAGAAACTAGAAACCCACTATCCCCTTCAAGAGCACACTTCTAATGACCTAATCCTTTTACTCAAGTTCACTTCCTTCCAACACCTAGCAACAGCATCACAGGCTAAGACCAAGCCTTCAATACTTGAGCTTTTGAGGACCATACCAAAAGCAAATTATAGCAATGACTTTGGTTACACACACACACACACACACACACTAACCAATACCTCCTATACTGGCAATATTCCTCTACTGTAATCAGGGCCAGGTAACAAACAACTAGAGATTACCCCTATAGCCCAAAGCCACCCAAAATTGGTCAGACTAGTCAAATATAAACTTCTGACTATTCTTGCCTTTTCTGAGGAAACCCAAATAAGGGTTAAACCTTCTCTCCTTGCTCCTGCCTTCAATTACCTGCTATCTTTTCCACATGACCTGTGAGGTATACCATGCCTCCTATAGCTTGGACCTATGAGTAAAATAGGTATGTCATTGCACTTGAGTTACTATTCCAGAAATGAATACACAGCATTGTACAGGAGCCTTTACAGCTATCTTATTGTAAGGAGGTTTCTCTAGAACTATTTAGGATTAAGAATAAAAAACACCAGCTGATCTGATAAAATTTTCGAAATCAGGCAATGCTTGTTAAGTTGTATGTCTTTAGACCTTTGAAAGATTCCAAATGTAAGCCATATGCCTGTGGTTCATCACTGCAGTTCCAGCAACTCGGGAGGCTAAAACTTGTACGATATCAAGATTCAAAACTAGACTGGGCAGAAAAGTCTTCAAACTCCATCTTAAATTAACCAGCAAAAAGCTCAAATTAGATGTTTGGCTCAAGCCATAGAGTGCTAGCCAAACAATCAAGCACAGTGAGCATGAGGCCCTGAGTACTAACCTCCCCCAAAAAGATTCAATACATAATCCAAATTGTTGGGCAGGTATCTAAGAACATCTCCAAAGCTCAAGAAATGAGCTAGCTTTCAATATCCATGTTATTATAGTACTGTTAGATCACTGTAAGATTTGGGAGTATTCCATCTTCATGCTAAACAGTACAATTACAGGTACAGTATTCCATCTCTTTTTTGAAAATCCCCTTTCCCTTGGAGTCTGTCCAATAACCAGTCCCCTTCTATACATGACAGCTAATTGGTAATATTGCTTCGGGGAAAAATCACGTTTTTCAAAGGGCATTTTCAAAGCTTGGAAGCCTAGGAAACCCAAAGGAATGGATTTCTATTCATGATCACTCAATTACTTGCAATCGCTTAATACCTTGCTCTGCTCTTTCCAAGGGTCATCTTGGTTCTAGTTCTAATCCTTGGTTACCTCATGAACCTCAATTAATAAAACCTCTAAGCAAGTGCACAGATCCTAGCCAATATAAAATTATTCACAGCTGCTTAAAAACCCAAATGGCCATGCGCCAGTGGCTCACACTTACAATCCTAGCTGCAGGAAAGTTTGTGAGACTCTTATCTCTAATTAATCACCAAAGAGCCAAAAGTGGAACTGTGGCTCAAGGGGTAGAGTGCTCTAGCCTTGAGCACAAAAGCATAAGGACAGTGCCCACCCCTGAGTTCAAGCCTCAAGTGGCACATGTATGTACACACACACACACACACACACACACACACAAATGTCATCATAGTACAAGCAAAATGAGATGGGAAAGTGAGACTATACATTAAGACCATGACCGGCAGATAAAAAGTAAGGACCAGTTCCAATCCAGAGCTGACAAGTTGGGAATGATCCAAACAAGGCACACAGGTACCATCACAGGGGAGTTTGACAGTTAAGGTTAATGTGGATCAGACAGGAAATCTATTTACTATGTTATTCTTATTCATGATCTTTAGACTAGTTTTCCCTAGTAAAGCTCCCAGGGTCTGAAATGCAACAGTATTGCTAACCTGGAAGCTTCTGAAACTTTAACAGTCTGCAGTTTCCAATGTGGCTTAGCATGTGAAGAGGAACACCAGCTCCCAGTGTGGGGTGTGGGGAAACAAATCCACAGGTACAGCTTCTCTCAGGACAAAATGCTCGCCTAGAAGCTTCTTAGCAGAGTTTGGAGGACAGCACAACCTGTAGAAAGAAATAAAATTTTAGCTTCCTAGAAAAAAGACGTATAGAACACAACTGTTGAAATGGAAGCTATCCATCCCCCTGCACATCAACTTGGGCTTATCATTGTATTTAATGGAATGCTTTTCTCCTCCATCTTCCACAATTCAGCACTAGATGCACAACTTAGGATAGGGCTCCATCCTAATAAACTCACACTAGCTGAAAAGAGAAACAAGTAAACAATGTATTTGTAAGCCTGAGGTATAGCTTCATGGTAAAAGCATAAGCCTAGCCTCTAAAGTGTCCAGTTTTTCAACCCCAGGACCACAGGAAGTGTTTAATACATCTAGTTTCCCAAACATCCCAGCTTAGCCACAGGACAATACATAGTGCTGGCTTTAATTAATTTATTCATTCCCTCACTCATGCATTTATGCCAGTTCTGGGGCTTGAACTCAGGACCTAGCCACTGCCCCTTGGCTTTTTTGCTCAAGGCTGGAACTCTACCTCTTGAGCCACAGCTCCACTTCTGGCTTTTGGTAGTTAATTAGAGTCTCATACTTTCTGACCTGGACTTCCTTTGAATTCTGATCCTCAGATCTTAGCAGAGTCATCAGCATCCAGTGGTAACTTTTATTCTTGGCAACTGGTAGCTGACTGGGAGCTCTCTCACTGTTGCTGACTAGCACCTTGCTGTCAGGCTTCCAAAATTCAAAGTGTACTTTCTACTAAACATGGAATGCTTTCCATGGTTGTGAAGTCAAGAACATACCAACTCCATCAGAAATTATGCTCAGAAATATTCATTTAGATTAATTCATTCTGCTGAAACTTTTCAGAATAGATGGCTTTTTTCCTCTCATTCCAAAGATTCGTTATAGAGAAGTACAGAAAAATTTTGTTCCTTTTAACAAAATTCACCTACAAAGTCACCTACAATATCACCACTTAAATTGTGTGTGTGTGTGTGTGCTGCTTGCATTATTTCTTTTTTTCTTTCCTTTAGTTTATCCCCTGTTGACACTTTTTTTTTATTTCTGTACCCATTGCTTATATATAAGTTTAACTGATTTGGGGAAGGGAAGTGAAATTACAAAAATGGTGGGGCAATGGGTGAGCCAATGCAACAATGATACTCACTAGATATTATGCTGGAAATGAAATGTACAACTTGCAGGGAGGGCAAGAGAGTCGGGGGATGGGAAAGTGGGAGAAATGAGGGAGACTGTAACACTTCATGCACGTACTCTGTACATCACCTCTACAATAAAATGTAAACATTTTTTTTAATTTTTTTCAAAAAAGAAAAATAGGTCAAAACAAAGTAAGAGTCCCATGGCCTTTCCTGCCCTGGCTGGCTTCAAACTGCAATCCTTAGATCTCAGCCTCCTGAATAGCTAGGATTATAGGCATGAGCCACAGGCATCTGGCTTAACTGTTTTTTAGGTCTGAGACTAGAACTCAAACTTGGTACCTGACACTTTTGCTCATTGGAGAGTATTCTAATAACTGAACCATGCCTCCAACCCCTTAAATTGTTTGTCTTAAATTTTTATTGTAAAGGTGATGTGCAGAGGGGTTACAGTTACGTAAGTCAGATATTGAGTACATTTCTTTTCTTTTCTTTTTGCCAGTCCTAGGGCTTGAACTCAGGGCTTGAGTTTCTTTTGTTCAAGGCTAGTACTCTACCACTTGAGCCACAGCATCACTTCTGGCTTTTTCTGTTTATGTGGTACTGAGGAATTGAACCCAGGGCTTCATGCATGCTAGCAATCTACCACTAAGCCACCTTCACAGTCCCAAGAACATTTATTTTTGAACAGTGTGACCCCCTCCCTCATTCTCGCCCAGTTTTTCCCTCCTGACCCCCACACTCCCCTAAGTTATATAGTTCATTTCCAGCATAGTGTCACTGTTAAATTAGTTCACCTTTTGTCCCACCATTTCTGTCCTTCCCCTTCTCCCCAAATCAGATAAATTTATATACAAGAAAGAGGTACAGAAATAAAAAATAGCAACAAATGGGAAAAAAACAGAAAAAAAAGAACTACAATTTTTTTTAAAACCCTCATTTCATTTCTTGGAATTCATTTCAATAAGCATCATTATTTTTTTTTATTTTTTGTCGGTTGTAGGGCTGGAACTTTGGGACTGGGCACTGTCCCTCAGCTCTTCAGCTCAAGTTGAACATTCTCCCACTTGAGCCACAGTGCCCCTCCCGGTTTTCTAGTGGTTAAAGTGGAGATAATAGTCTCACCAACTTTCCTGCCCAGGCTGGCTTTGAACCACAGTCCTCAGATCTCAGCATCCTGGGTAGCTAGGATTACAGACATGAGCCACTGGCACCTGGCAATAAGCACCTCTTTATATGACCATATGCACAACGCTATTTAGCCCTGTGATCCTCTCCTAAAAATGTTCTCCTTTGGTTTCACTGTGTGAATGTTTAGCGTCCTGTTTATCATGTCCAAATGTATTTTGTTGTCTTTTACTATCTTTTGGGTTTACTTGTAGATTTATAGGCACATTCTAATTAGTACAAATGAGGAAAATCATGTAGTCTATGTTACTTTAGGTCTGGCTTACTTTGCTTAATACAATTTTTCCAAGTCTTTACATTTCCTTATGAATGGGGCAATGTCATTCTTTCTGATGAAAGCACAGAATTCCATTGTGGTGTTTGTTTTGTTTTGTTTTATTTGTCAGTTGTGGGGCCTGAACTCTGGGCCTGGGCACTGTCCCTTGGCTCTTCAGTTCCAGGCTAGCACTCTACCACTTGAGCCACAGCACCACTTCTGGCTTTTTCTGCTTATGTGGTGCTGAGGAACCCAGGGCCTCATGCATGCAAGGTAAACACTCTACCCCTGAGCCACCTTCCTACCACCTCCATTGTGTTTTAAAAGACAAACTCACACTATATGTTTGTACATATGGATTTACAATCAGTTTAAGGCCCAAACCATAAAACTGGAAGAGAATTTGTTTCCCCAGATGACACTCAATAATTTAAATAGCACTGTTCAATTAAAATCAAGTACAAGATAAACATGTTCAGTATCATATCTCCAAAGAATAGTGTTCATTCAATGTAAGAAAAGAAATATTAGAAGCAGACAGACAAGTGTGAATTTTTGTTTTTTTGTTGTTTATTTCTGTGCTGGTACTGGGGCTTGAACTTTTTTTTTCCAAGGCCAATGTTCTGTCCTTTGAGCCATAGCTCTACTTGGTAGTTAACTGGAAATAAGAGTCTAATGGACTTTTCTGCCTTGGTTGGCTTTGAACTGAGATCTTCAGATCTCAGCCTCCTGAGTAGCTAAGATCACAGGTGTAAGCAACCAGTGCCTGGCACCAAACACGTTTTTATATAATGCTCAGATAGACAGCTATAAAGAAAATCAACTGAAAAAGACAAGTAATAAAAGAGTAAGGTAGTTAGGCATAAGAACAGCAATAATTCAAAAATAGCACAAAAATATCTTATTCATTATACAACAAATGCTTTACAAGCCATATCCCTCACCTATAATCCATCTACTTAGGAGGCTGAGACAGGAAGCCAGCCTGGAATGACAGTAAGATCTTGCCACCAAAAAGGCTTCCCAGGATTATGTATTATAAAACATATCCCTCTAGAGAATCACACAGAAAATACTACATAACTGAGCAGATGTGAATACATATATGAATGGAAAAAATATTGTAAAATTTGTAATGCCTGGCATGCAATGTAGCCCACAACTCTAATCCCAGCTACATGGGAGGTAGAGGAAGGAAAAACACAAGTTCAAAGCCATATGACTCTACCTGTAATCCTAGGTACTCAGGAGGTGAGATCTAAAGATTATAGTTCAAATCCAGCCCAAACAAGAAAGTCCATTAGACTTTTATCTCCAAGCAGACTTGAACAAAAAAGCCCTGAGTTCAAGCCCAAGTACAAGTTCACATTTACACATACATACACACAAACACACACAAACTGGATTAACATAAGCATTATATTTGTGAGTACAGTGTGATATTTCAATGCATATATATTATGTATACTAATCAAATAAGTGTAATTAAAGTTTCTGTCCCCAAATCATTAGTTTATGTCTGAAGCATTTGAGTTTCTCTCTTCAAGTCATTCATAATATATAATAGGGGATTGTGAACTATACTTCCCCCACTGAGTTGTAAAACACAGGAATATATTACTTCTAAGCAAACTGTGTTTGGTACGTGTTATCCATCCTTCCACCACACCCACTCTCCCCAGCCTCCCAGCATGTCTGCACAGCAAAGGAAGAGACAAACTGAAAGAAGAGACCCACCTACCGGATGGGAGAAAATATGCATAAAATACTCATCTGACAAAGAAGTTATATATGGAATATATACAAGGAATATAAGAAACAAATACAAAATAATCCAGTTAAATGGACACACACTGATAGCAATATACTTCTCAAAAGAAGAAATTCAAATGGCAAAAAATATGGAAAAAAAAGTCTCAGTATCAAGAAAATGCAAGTCAAAAACACAATGAAAAAAATTATTAAAAAGCAACTGAAAAACACAGTAAGTGGCTGGGAATGTGGCTTAGTGGTAGAGTGCTTGCCTAGCATGCATGATTCCTCAGCACCACATAAACAGAAATAGCTAGCCTTGAGCAAAAAGAGCTCAGAGACAGTGCCCAGGCCCTGAGTTCACTCATCTCAACCAACAGCAACAACAAAAAAGAATGATATTATTTGTAACAAAAAGATGGAACTAGAAGATATTAGGTGAAATAAGGAAGACACAGAAATACAAATACAAATACCATATGTTCTCTCACATGTATATCCTACCCCTTTAAAAAAATTAGTATTTGGGGGTATATGCCAGTACTGGGGTTTGAACTCAGGGCCTCAAGCTCTTGCTTAGCTTTTCTATTCAAGGCTGGAGCTCTACCTCTTAGTCACACCTCCACTTCTGGTTTTCTGTGCCAGTCCTGAGGTTTGAACTAAGAGCCTGAGAGCAGTCTCTGAGCTCTTTTGCTCAAAGCTAGCTCTCTACCACTTGAGCCACAGCTCCACTTCTGGGAGATTTTGGTGTTTAATTGAAGATCAGAGTCTCACAGACTTTCTCAGCCTCCTGAGTAGCTAAGATTATAGGCATGAGCTACCAGTGTCTGGCCTACTTCTGGTTTTTTCCTGGTTAACTAGAGGTAAGAGTCTCATGGATTTTTCTGCCAGGACTAACTTCAAAACTCAATCCTCAGATCTCACCTGAGTAGCTAGAATCACAGACATAAGCAACCAGCACCCCACTAAAAAATTAATATTTTGTTCATCATTATTTTGGATGTTAATTTTGATATTTTTAAATATTGCACTAAAAATGTATCTTGAGGGCTGAGAATGTAGCTTAGTGGTAGAGTGCTTGCCTAGCATGCATGAAGCCCTGGGTTCAATTCCTCAATACCACATAAACAGAAAAAGCCAAAAGTAGTGCTGTGGCTCAAGTGGTAGAGTGCTAGCCTTGAGCAAAAGAAGCTCAGGCACAGTGCCCAGGCCCTGAGTTCAAGCCCCAGGCAAAAAAAATTTATCTTGAGTACTGGAGAAAGATGACTCAAATGGTAGAATGTTTGCCTAGCAAGCATGAGGCCCTGAGTTCAATCCAATTTAATTTTTAAACAAGTATCTTGATTACTGAAAATTCTGGTATCCCCTTAAAATGTTGTAGCTATTAGGTTTCCCCATGAGTACAGCCTTCTTTCTCCCCCTCCTCTTCATGAAGGACAGCACTAGCCTTACCAAACACTACCTGTCCTAAACCATAATCACCAGTAACTGTTAATCACCTGACTGTGCATCCATAAAATACCTCATCCTCTGAGGTCACTTCTGCATTTGCTGCAGCCATACCTCCTCCTCACCTTTCCCTATATAATCTCTTTCCACCATCAATTGAGCTACACACTGCTCTACACACTCTCCAGTGCCACCCCGCACAACTCTCTGCACATTTACATCTGGTACAGGCCAGAAGCTTGGTCTACCTAATAAACTCTTTTCTGACTGAACTGCATGGTGTTCTCATTTCAGCAACCCTTAGAGTAGCCACAGTGAATGCCTGAACTGCCTCACTCTAGATCTGGCCCTGCAATTAATACTTGAAGGGAATAGAATTATTTTTTTTCCTTTTTCTTTCTGCTTCTCTATGCTTTCTAAATTGTGCACACTAAACATGGATTACGCCAGGAGCCAGTAACTTATGTCTGTAATCCTAGCTACTCAGGAGGCTAAGATCTGAGGATCACAGTTCAAAGCCAGCCTTGGCAGAAAAGTCCCCATAAGACTCTTATCTCTAGTCAACCACTCAAAAACCAGAAGTGGAGCTCTACTAAAGTGATAGAGCGCTAGTCTTGAGCAAAAAAGAGCTCAGGGATAGCACCCAGTCCCTAAGTTTAAGCCCCACAACCAACAAAAAAACAAACATGGGGTAGGTTAGGAGCCATGGGTGACAACGTTATCAGACACTTTATACTCATATAGTTTTGTAGAATGGGAACTTCCTTGTACAACCACTTAAAGATAATAAATTGTTTTTAAAAAGCCAAACATGGGTTACTTTGAAAACTGGAAATCATAATAACAACAACAAAAAACTAAAGACTCACTCGATAATATTCCTTGTGGTCTCATCATAAGGCTTGCAGGAAACAAAAACTAGTGTGTGGATAGCTTGGCAGTTCTGGATGGCTCGAACTACCTTGTAATCTAAAGGAACAAATACTATTATTAATACAGTTAAGCTATCATGGTCCCCATTATAAGATACTCCTAACTGACCCTCACTCAGGACTAGTTAAGAACATAGGAGAAGCTGATTCATAGCTGGCACACTGGGCACTCCATAGCATGTTGTGGGAATGAGGAAGCAAAGTTCACCAGGGAACACTCAATTACTCCTTACACAACCCAGCACAGGTTGAGTTCACCACAGCAATAATTGACTGCCCATCTTCCTTTGACTTTAATAGCTGTGGTAAAATCTTCTCTGCTCTCCCGGTATGAAATTCACAGTTGGTGATACTGTGGAAGAGAGGCCCACATGACACAGCCCAGTCTAGCAGAGGGATGATTCAGCTACACAGCAATTTACAGACACCAGGACTCTGCCATCTTCCCTTTGGTTTTAGAAAATCTCTGAATAAGCAGGAAGAAATGCTTTTAGACCTACTTCACTTATCCCTTGGCACGTCTCAATATGCCTTTCAGCTTGAGAGACATACTGGCATACGAGTTACATACACTAAGACAAGAATCTTGAGTTTTCCTGAAGTGGTCTTCCTGCTGCATCAGAAGGTTTCATTCAGTGCCTAAAGAACTGTGCTGAGGTAGGGTAGAGATGACAAGTCATTTTCTATAGTACAATCTAGCATGGTTTTATCTGAAGAAAAGTTTCTAAGGCTGAAATTATATGTTTGAAACCTATTGTATTAGGCAGTGATACTTCATGAGCCTAATGTCAAGAAGGCTCTTCTGTCAGAAGTTTTACTTTTCCCTCCCTATCAACTAGGCTTTTTCCTTCCCTTGGGCTCTTCTTCTGAATAGAACAACAATAAAAGTTATTGGAAGTGGTACCCAGGAGGTTTGAAGCCAGAAACTCTATAATTAACCAGCAAAAATCCAGAAGTGGAGGTGTGGCTCAAGTAGTAGAGCACAAGCCTAAAGCAAAAAAGCTGAGCCAGAGGAAGAAGCCTTGAGTTAAAGTTCCAATACTCTTCCCTCCCAAAAAGCAGTTACTAGAAGGTCATCAATTCCAGAAGGTCATCAATTCCCACTTTACCACTTTAGAACCCTATTGGTCATAGATATTATAGTACCTCCTTCCCACACAATCTTTTTCATGGTGCAAAAACACTGTCATCTTCTTTGTTTGCTTGTTAGTTCATTGGTTATGGTGCTGAAGATGGAACCCAAAGTATTGTACATGGTAGGCAAGAACTCTACCATGAATCACATCTCTAGCCCCTCAACTGAATCTCTTAATTTCTGTCCAGACTGAGCTATGTACCATTGAAGGCTGCTGTCCACCTGGCATCTCAACCAACTCAATCCCAACAACCTGGGAGACATGCTGAGCCAGAGAAAGGCCCATCACACCTGGAGAAAAGAGAGATCAGGGTATTTTAGGGCTTTAAATAACATTATACCCATAACAATACCACCATCTCTTCCCTCCTACCCCTGCGAGCATCTTAGGTTCTAGCCAGATGACAGGTGAGAGCTATGCAGCATGCAGAATCTTCCATAGGCAGCTACTTGCCAGTTCCACAGCAAATATCAAGGAGGAGCATATTAGAATCACTCCACTCAGCTCCCAAACAGTCCAATAAAGCACCTTGGCACCAGCAGTGTTAATCTGGAAAAAGGCATCTGGAGAAATGCAGACCTTCAAGCCTAGAAGATCTTCAAAGATGTGGGGTTCCCCAAATAAGAGCTGGTAGGGGGACTGCTGATGATTGCCACGGGTCATGGTGCTAGAAAAGAAGAAAGCATCTTGGATTGGCAGACCATTCCATCACTAGTGTTGACTGGAAGGGGAGATCCCAGCATCTCAGTTAGGAGATACAACTTCCTTACCATGGCTCTCAGAGCTCTGTACAAGTTGCCCTTTCAAGAGATGGAGGTACATGCACACTATTTCTTATACATTCTGGCCTGGATCCAAAGATACAGCTGGTATAACAAGAGCCATAACTAGTTATCCCAGAGCCTCCATTGTCAGCAACCCTTCACCAGCAATCTACAAACCCAGGCTACAAGCCATAGGATCCTGCTTACTCTCTGACTGCCTCAGGTTTACCTTTCCTGGAAATAAATGGAAGTTAAGTTGCAGACTGCTCCGGGGCCTTTGATGAAGAATTCCTTATAGTCTCCTCCTGAACAAAGAGCTCCTCCTGTCCAAACCACAAAATTAGGAGTCAAGCAGAGATTCATATCTGACAATTTTTTTCTCCAAGCTCTACATTAACCAGCCCTGAAGTAGCCAGGCAAGAAGACATATTTCTTAAATTCTATTATAAGTAACACTTAACATAAAGCAACATTCTGTATAACAATAAAATAGGCCATTTTTCTCATCTCAGTAGAAGCACAGCTTGGCTGTTCAGCTTTTGACAAATCCTAGACAATAGATTTGGCACTTTTTCTACTTTGAAGCTCTAATAGTTCTCCTAAAGAAAGTGTGAGTTTTTCTTATATACAAGGAGCTAAACTAAGCTCACGCCCCATCATGCTGAGGCAATAACCTTTCAATTCCCTTCACTACAGAGAGCCCAACCACCTACCCAAATATCACCACACAAATCGTGATCCTCAAAGAAATCAAACAGGATCCACAGGAGAGAATTAGCATGTTAACTTCCTTTTTTCCAGCCAGTCCTAGAGCCTGAGATCAAAGCCTGGGTACTGTCCCTGAGTTTCTTCTGGCTCAAGGTTAGCACTCTACCACTTCAGCCACTGCTCCACTTCCAGCTTTTTTTGGTAGTTTAATGGAGATAAGAGTCTCACAGACTTTCCTTCTCAAGATGGCTGAACTTTAATCCTCAGATCTCAGTCCCCTGAGTAGCTAGGATTAAAGGTGTGAGCTATTGGCACCCAGCTAGTAATTCCCTTTTTTAAGTTCAGAACTTTAAAAAAAAATCTTTACATCATGACAGAAAGCCTAAGCATTAGCTTGGCACACAAATACAAACAGTAAACCTGAACCTACAGAATTAGGTCCAAGCTTGATTCAAGTTTCAACTTCACTTTTTTGTAGTGATGGAATTTGAACTCAAGGACTTATGCATGCTTGCCAGGAAAGTACTCTACCACTTGAACCATGCCCCTTGTCCCCAGCTTTGCTTTGCTACTAAATGGCTTTTTTTGGCCAATACAACTTAAACTCAGGGCCTCAGGCTCATTCAGCTTGCTTGATAATGGCTGGAGCATTATGGCTTGAGCCTCATCTCCAGCCAGCTTTTGCTGGTTAAATGGAGATGGAGTCTGCCCACACTGGCTTCAAACTACAGTCTTCCAGGAAGTTATTAGCTTCCTGAGTAGTTAATATTACATGTGTGAGCCACTGGCACCTAGCTTAAGTGGCTTTTAAATCTTGAATATGCCTATGTCTCCATTTATTTCTTAAAATTTAGAGTGACAGCCAAGTGCCAGTGGCTCACGCTTGTAATCCTAGCTATTCAGGAGGCTGAGATCTGAGGATAGGAGTTCAAAACCAGCTGGGGAATGAAAGTCCATGAGACTCTTATCTCCAACTAACTACCAAAATGGAGCTGTGTCTGAAGTGTTAGAGCACTGGCCTTGAGCACAAAGCTCAGGGACAGCACCCAGGTCCTGAGTTCAAACACCAAGACTGGCATACACACACACAAAAAAAACTGAGAATGACAATATTCTTTTATCCTGCCTGCTCAAGTTGGTTTGAAATGATCATCTAAGTATAGGGATGTTTTACTATTATAAATATTACAAATGTACAGCATAATTTGAAAACCTACTATGTTCACCACTATACAATCAATCAACACAGTGAAATATCTGGATTACAACATTCCAATATGCTAATCTCTGTGGAATTGACATGTGGATTTAGTACCTATTACTATAGGCAAAGTTCTTATGAAAATACTTGGGAGCCAGGCACCAGTGTCTCACACCTGTAAGCCTCGCTATCCATAGGCTGAAATCTGAGTATCACTGTTTGAAGCAACCTCAGGTAGAAAAGCCTGCAAGACTCTAATTAACCAGTGAAATGTAGAACTAGAGGCAAGAGTAAAAGTGGTAGAGTTCCAGCATGTAGCCAGAAAGCTGAGCAGGGATACAAAGTCCTGACTTCAAACCCCAGGACTGGGACAAAAATAAGAATAATTGGGAATCCTTATATGATAATTAGTTTGACAACCTAATCTGATTGTGCCAGAAATATAGCTAAATAGTATTCTTACTATCTTCTCCTTCTCCCACTTAAATGTTCTCCCCAACCTACACAAATATTATGTGGATATATAGTTCCTGCCTTCCACCTGGAAGCTTCCAAAAACCAACTGCAGCACAGCACTGATTGATACAAAAGCTATACCATCCTATGAAGCTCACCTGACTTAATTCTTAGGGATGTAAAGTTATGATAGCCATAGTGTGTCCCTGGCTATTGGTTCAAACTGTCAGCTCACGTCAGTATCCACCTTCATGAAATACAAGGCAGGGATCCATTGGAGACTGTCGAAGGAATATTTCATAGTACTAAGAAGAAAAAAAAAACAATATTACACAGCAAAACTAACAAGTTCCCAGCTGATTTTTTCATACTAGATATTTGGGCTGTATTGTTATCTTTCAAAATTTATATACTGAAGCCTTCATCCCCAGTACCTGAGGATGTGACTGTATTTGGAGAAAAGGTCTTTAAAGAGGTGATTTCACAGCTAAGCATGGCAGTATATACCTGTAATTCCAGCCCTAAAGAGATGGAGGATCACATGTTCTAGGCCAGTCTGGGCTACATACCAAGACCTTGTCTAATATAACCTAAATAAATATAACCTAAATAAATATAACCTAAAATAAAGAGGAGATTCAGTTAAAATCAGGCCATTAATCAGGCCTTAGTCCAATCTGACTAGTGTCCTTATAAGAAAAGGAAATCTGGGCTGGGAAGGTGGCTCAGTGGTAGAGAGCTTGCCTTGCATGCCTGAGGCCCTGGGTTTGATTCCTCAGCACCACATAAGCAAAAAGAAAAAAAGCCGGAAGTGGTGCTGTGGCTCAAGTGGTAGAGTGCTAGCCTTGAGCTGAAGAGCTGAGGGACAGCGCCCAGGCCCAGAGTTCAGCCCCACGATTGGACCCAAAAAAGAAGAAGAAGAAAAAAAGAAAAGGAAATCTGAAACCCCAGATACTAAGAGGGTAGAGGCAAGAGGATCACCAGTTCAAGGCCAGCCTGGGCAAAGATAGCAAGACTCTGTCTTAAAAAAAAAAGTCTGGAGCATACCTCAAAACTGGACACACAGAGTTTTCCAGGGATAAATATGCACAAAGAAAAGACCCTGTAGGGAACACAGCAAAAACATGGCCATCTGCCCCAGAAAGCCATACCAACATTCTGGTCTTTGACATCTAGCCTTTAAACAGTGAGAAAATAAAGTCCCGTTATTCAATGAGCCACCCAGTCTGTAGTATTTGCTATAGCATCCCAGAAAGAATAGACAAAATATGTTCCCTGTCCTGTGCTCTTACAAAAGATATTATCCACTGTATTCTGACCTAGAAGCTCCATGAAGGCCTAACAGTGTATCTCCAATCTGCAATATAATGATGTGCAGTATTTGTGAAACATGGTATGAACAAATATATGAAAAAGAAGTAGAACCTCAGTTTATTCTATACACAATGAGGAATACAATAAGCTTTCATTTCTGTGAAATCTTCCTGGCAGCAATTCCTGATGTCTTACTAAGCTGCTATGAGTCATTCTTAGTTATAACTTCCTGACATAAGCCTGTCATTTCTCTATCATATAACCAGGTGCCAACCACCCTATACCTTAGTCAGATCCTCCATTTCCTCCAGGGAAATAAACCATCCTGCAAATGCAATCCCAATTTAGTTATTATGATCTCAACAATCTTTAAACCCAGCATAATTAGTGTAAGGGAGAGTCATAGAGGGGGTGGAGATTGATTGGAATAAATTACATACATGCAAAGAATGTCAACATGAAATCGCCCCTTGTATAGCTAATGTATGCTAATAAAAAAAATCAGTCTGGGAAGGTGGCTCAGTGGTAGAGCGCCTGCCTTGCACGAGGCCCTGGGTTCAATTCCTCAGCACCACATAAGCAGAAAAAGCCAGAAGTGGCACCGTGGCTCAAGTGGTAGAGCGCTAGCCTTGAGTTGAAGAGCTGAGGGACAGTGCCCAGGCCCAGTGTTCAGGCCCCATGACCAACAAAAACTAAAAATTCCCTAAAGCCAAATCTTTCAAACAAAAGCCAGTGCTTAGTATCTGGGGTTTCAGGTATATACTATCATGCCAAGCTCAGATTTCCTTTTCTTTTGTTTTTGCCAGTCCTGGGGCTTGAACTCAGAGCCTGGGCACTGTCCCTGAATTTCTTTTGCTCAAGATTAGCACTTCACCACTTGAGCCACACTGCCATTTCTGGCTTTTTCTGTTATGTGGTACTGAGGAATCGAACCCAGTGTTTCATGCATGCTTGGCAAGCACTCTAATACTAAGCCATATTCCCAGCCTCTCCTTTTGTTTTCATAATGTGTATAATATAAGTATTTAGGTTTTTTAATACTGTTTGGGGGGAAAGTAAAGAAAGGGATGACATCATCCAAAAAAAGAAGTGCATTTATTACCTGACTTATGAAATGGTAACCCCTCTGTACAATACCTTAATAGTAACAATAAAATTGTATTAAACATAAAAATAATCAGTTAAGGCAGAACATGATCATTTTTGCTATGATTTTATATAAATGCAATCAAAGATAGGCTTAAATGTACTGAACATTTTCTTTCAAATTTTGAGGTTAGCAATTTAAAAGAAGCTTGGTCAACTGTTATTTACTGGCTGGTTTTAGAAAGGAATATTTCTTACAAGCAAAATTCAAATGTCACAGAAGTCCTGAAAGGATGGTAACTGAAAAACTGAGCCTGACTTGGAAGAAAATTTGTAAGTAAACATGAAATACAGCTTCTTGCTGGATATCATTGGTTCACATCTATAATTCTAGCACCTAGGAGGCTGAAACTAGCCTGGGTAGAAATTCTATGAGACTCCAACTCCATTAACCATAAAATGCCAGATTAGAGGCATGGTTCAAGTGGTAGAGCACCAGCCATGGGCAAGCAATCCCAGCAAGAACTAAAGGTCCTGAGTTCAAACTCTGGTACTGGCATAAATTTTTTTTAAAGAAATACACCATCTGCACAATATGACCTTGGTTTCTTCACTGTAAAATGGGAGGCAGACTCTCAACCTTATATGGGAATGCCTAAGGGAGCATTCTGATTCAAATAAGAGAATATTACAACTAAAAATTCTACAAAAATGAAAGGAAAAGAAAAGGCACAATTTAAGTCCACTGTGCCATTAATCTTCCCTTCTCATTCTCCTCTACATTTTCATGTATACATGTATATGTATTCACAGGAATACATATACATGCATTAACTCTTTCACTTTAATACAAAAAGAAGACTTTCTCAAACACAGGGGCCCCTCCTAGTTTTTGCTGTTTCTCTATTCCTCTTTGTGGCAAATATCACAAGAAATGTAAATGTTCCCTTTCTGACATTCTTTTCCTTTTATACATCTATTTAAATCATTTTCCCACTACTCCACCAAAAGAGCTGATATTAAGGTCCCCAAATTACTCCTTGTCATGATCCAATGGCCAATTCTTAGTGTTCACCTTGCTACACTAGGCACAACTGATGATTCATTCCTCTTCCACTTATATTCTTCACTAGGCTCCTAGGACTCCCCACTCTCCTGTTTCTTGTTGCCTCATGGGCTGTTTCTTCTCGGTAAAAGGGGTCTCTTTTCCCAGACTTCTTAACATTGGCGTGTCCAGGAGTTGGTCCCTGTACCTCTTCTTTTGTCTGTCTACTCTTAGCCCCTTGGTGATCTCTTCCCAGTATTTTTTTGGGGGGAGGGGTCATCATGGGCCTTGAGCTTGGGGCCTGGGCGCTATCCCTGAACTCTTCAGCACAAGGAGAGCACTCCACCACAGCGCCACTTCTGGTTTACTGGTGGCTAATTGGAGATAGGAGTCTCACAGACTTTCCTGCTTAGGGCATGGCTTTGAACCATGATTCTCTGATCTCAGCCTCCTGAGTAGCTAGGATTACAGGCATGAGCCACTGGCGCCTGACCTAGTATTTTGATTTTAAATAAATAACATCTACATACTAACAATGCCTACTGTCTGGATTTCTCTCTTGAACATTCCTCCTCCCCATATTACAACAATCATATACCACATAATGATGTCTGGGCCAACCACTGTGATTGCATAAGTTGTGATGAAGCTGAAAAATTCCTATAGTTTAGTGATATCATAGCCATCAACATTATACTATAATACCATAATATCTCACTCTCATGTTTGTGGTGATGCTGGCATAAACAAATCAATTATGTTGCCAGTCATATAGAAGTACAGCACATATGCTAGGTGCCACTGGCTCATGCCTGTAATCCTAGCTACTCAGGAGGCTGAGGATCAAGTTTTGACACGTCTTAGCAGGAAAGTCCAAGAGAATTTGTCTCCATTTAACCACAAAATGCCAGACTGAAGACATGACTCAAACCAAGCACAAGGCTCTGAGTTCAAACTCCAGTACCAGCAAAGAAAAAAAAGTACAGCAATACAATTATGAATAATATATCATACTCAATAATGACAATAAACAACCATTACTGACATATATTTACAAGCTATACTTTCTATTATTTTATTGTGTAGTTCTTTTGTTTATTAAAAAGCAAGTTAGCCTGACCCAGTAGTTCATACCTATAATCCTAGATACTTGGGAGGCAGAAATTGGACTGTTGGGAGGCCAGCCCCAATAAAAAAAAGTTAGCAAGAACCCATCCCAGGGGAAAAAATCTTGGCATGCTAGAAATGTGCCTGTCATCCAACTATGTCGGAGGCATAAAGTAGGAAGAAGGAAGTTCAGGCAAGAAAAGTTAAGACCCTATATGAAAAATAACTAAAGCAAAAGGGGTTGAAGGTATGGTAATACTTGTGGAGCAACTGCTTCGCAAATAGGAGGTCTAGAGTTGAAAATCTTGTACTGCCATTTTTAAAAAAGAGAGTTTGTCAGGTGCCAGTGGCTCATGTCTAAAATCCTAGTTATGCAGGAGGCCAAGATCTGAAGACTGCAGTTTGAAACCAGCTTGAGTAGACAAATCTGAGAGACTTCTACCTCCAGTAAACTAGCCAAAAGTCAGAAGTGGAGGTATGGTTCAAGCAGTAGAGTACCAAGTTTGAGTGAAAAAACAAAGAAAGGGTGTGAAGCACTGACCATACTAGCACAAACACATATGTAAGTTTACTGTCAATGCATTGACTTACACAGGCATCAGCCTCATCTCCTGATTGCAGCATTATCCCTTCTGCTTGATTTAACCTTGTTGTTTATCCTGGCCTATGAACAGTAGACTGTGTCACATATCTCTACCACATAGTACAGGTATTCAGTAGAATATGTCATATAAGTTTGAGTAAGTACACTGT